AATTGCTACCATTCAAACACAAAAAGCAGCTATTATGTACATAGTGTTAATAAAATGCGTGGTAACTCAGTACATTTTTCTTTACACATAAAGCACAAAAAAGATTTAGGTAAAAAAATTAAAACAGGGATGTTTTCAGAAGGTAGGGAATTTTACTAGAAATGTATTTCCCTCACTACATTTATTTCGTATTCAACTCCAATAGAAACATCAGAGTTAAAAGAGCAATACCCTGTTTTGTGCTGACAGTTTTGGGGGACGTGCTCTCTGCCCCCACCCTCAAGGGAAAACCAAACAGCCGAACGCCATTCTCTCTAGGAACGTCCCTGATTATTTTGTTTCTAGAAAGTTTCAAGCGATGCCTCGGGGCTAGAAAGAGCTCCTTTTGCGGGGGGCAGGGGAGGGGACAACCGACATGTGGACAAATCAGGCGAGGACGACTTCACACAGAAAACTGCTGGCTGGCACTCTGCTCGGCCACCCCTAACAAATCTACACTCAAAGAAAAATGCTGACAAGTTAGTTCCCACCTTTAGTATAAATAATTTTATTACGTACACAAATTGGAGTGGCACTTGGATAAAAATATGTCTATAAAGCATTTACCAATTCAATTTTTTAAACATAAGAAAATAAAACCTCCCAAACACAAGGTAGGTTGTTACCCCTGGCCAGCTACCGTGAGATCATGGTCTGCAGGACTCTTCCTTCCCCGTCCTTAAACTCTCTCAGACCACCTCCCCTCTGAGTGCTCCTCAGACGAGCCCGGAAACGCCACTTCTGCCGGCAGGCGTGAAACGGTGCCTGCGCCGGTAGGCAGGACTTGAACTTCCTACGGTCAGTCCTTTCCGAAGGCATTTCCCGAAGGCTGCGCGTTGTCCCTTCGCGTGCTGGTGAGTGTGATCAAAGGAGTGTCGTGTGGGACGCAGCTGCGACCTGCACGCGCAGGCCCAGCACGCACGCAGGCCCACGTTTCCTCTCTGTGCTCAACAATCTGCCTGCTGCAGCATCAGCTTTCACCATCACAGGCTTTGTTCTATTGTGTTTATTTTTTTTTAACTTTTTCTTTTTTTAAAAAATAAATTTCAAGCTAAAACACCTGAAATGCAATCCCTCCATTCGAACGTTTTCTGGTCCCTCTTAGGTCTGTCTGCCCCTGAGGACACATACAAAGGCTTAAACTACATTCATCGGCAGGAACTCACCATGCGCTGAGACAGAGGGAACGGCAGCACCCTGTTTGATTTATGTGAAATTCTTCCACTCTGACTCAGCTTCATGGAGCGTTCGGCCCCTCAAGGATTAGCGCCTCTCCTAGCCATTGATTTTAGAAAGTCAAGGAAGCCAGTTCCCAGGACATACAGTGACCGCACAATCCACCTAGTAAACGCATCCAAGATGTACCGAAGCCACCCAACCAAGAGCTCTCGTTGTGCTTTGTACGATGGAGTGAACACATGTATCTCAACTCCTCACCTACAGGCTTACTAAGCACATTACTTTCCCCCTTCTCCTCTGAAATCAAATTTAGGCAGCATTCCTTTGATGTTCACAAAGCCAATTCAAAATGAAAATAATTTCGCAAAATGAGGATGACATGTGGTCTCCATGAAGACAATAACTTTGCCTCAAATATTTTACTTCTCCAGACAAATTAGTGGGTATTTTGGGCACACTATGCACAACACGGTATTAGTGAGGGGATGAGGATAAAGTCCCATTTTAAACTGAAAATACACATTATTCATTTAAGTTACTTTTCCTTCAGTCTTTATCCAGGATGGAAAAAAATAAGGTGTGAGCCCATCTTTTAAGTAGCTGGGCTAGTCAAATCTAACTTCCTGGTATTTTTCTCTCATAGCTGTTCTTAAAGGCTAGCTTTTAGGTGCTAAAATATTTTAGTCAATGAAAAGCTTCCATTTAAAAAAAGTAACATGATTTGAAGAGAGGAGAAAGACCAAAAGTCAGTTGATAATTAATTGATGAGGGAATTTCTTAAGTTGCTAATACCCAAACTGGGTCATTTTAAAAAGTGCAAGTTACACCAAACATTTACAAAGGATATAATGTAAATATAATCCAAATAAATATACACCTTTTGTATTAGGTCAATGGGGAAAAAAATATATCAACAGTGTTTAGGGCTACAAAGGCAACAAAATAAAACCTCTCAAAAATAAATGGAAAGGCCTATAACCACTACTTCTAAATCTCGCTTTAATTCAAAATCTCAGCGTTAAGATATATCAGCCGTATTTAATCCTGCAAAATGAAGCAGACTTTGATCTTCAAAATAAACAGAGGCCAATTTACACTAATAGCTGACTGTTAGCTGATCACAAAATTTAAAACTTAGTAAATATGAAAATAATAAATCTAAACAGAAGTCACTTCAAGTAAGTAAAAGCATCCTGGTTTAAACAAACTTGTTTCTTCCTAAGCCTTTGTATGATTCCACACGTCAAAAGGTCAAAAAGATAGTAGGGATCAGTCCTGAGAGACAGAGATAGACTTCAGCCAGATGACATCTGACGGGGCGGGCTGCCTGACCGGGACTGTGTTTTCAGAGACCAGCACTGCTGCTGACCTGTCAAAACACATTTTCTGACAAAATCCCCACTCAGATGAAACACCGGAACTCCTCCCCAAGGATGACTTTTGAGAAACCAGCGGTTCCTCTTGAAAGCCATCTTCAAAAAGCTCTCACCACTGCGATAGCTGCCCGAGACAAAGCACAAAAACCAAATGTTTGTGTGTGGGTTGGGGGGGGCTTTCAAGTGACCAGCCACATACTTGAAAGTACCAAGCCGAAGAAACTTACAAAAAACACTTGGAAGAAAACTAGAGAATAACAATCAATTGTGAGTGCCGGAGTAATGCAGTTGCAGAAACTGCCAGAAGGGATGCAAGAGAACACACACAAATGTAAAAAGAGTTCATCTGGCCTCAACAGACGAGAATACTCAGCATTCCTGACTGAGGAGCTCTCAGAGCTTTAGGTTATATACTATATGCATATATATATATATGTACACACATATTATACAAATGCCACCCCCAAGACATCCAAATGAACAGAGCACCTATGACAATATCATGGTTGCCAATATGGTACTAGAATTTGAAAAATAATGAACTTAAAATTGTATCTGGTATCGATTTTTTAATAATGAACACATTGGCTCTAGCCCTTTCTAAACCACTTTTCAGTTAAACACTATCAAAGCTCAAAAACTCATTAAGAGTAATATATCAAAAATAAACCCTCCCACTTCATTTTTATTAGAGTTAATCTGTCCTATAGATAAAAGTGCCAAATACGGCCCTATATTTGCAAAGTGAGCAATACCAAACTTGCTATTTTCTAGGCAAATCAGTAGCATATGTACAAATTCCTATGATGACATTTTAATTCCCTTTTGGCCAATATGAAGAAAAAAACACATTTATTTTAATGTGGCCACATACGTTCTTGGCTGTCATATTTTTTAAATTATGTCATTTTCTTAATAAAGATTCTCAAAGTCTCATGCTTAAAAACTAACACCCCCCCATTCTCATATTTTAAAAAAAGCCTGCACAAAAGATGCTTAATTTTGTCTGTATAAACTGAAATCTTCAAGTCTCTCCAAGGGTCTAAAACAGATTTAGCAACAAGATACATTTCTTACCTCACCAGTAAGTAACTGACTTCAAAACAGTGCAATTATTCTCATGGTATAAAGGACCAGAGGTCACTATAACTTACAATTCCATACAGCTCATATGAATGTGATTGCCTTGATTTATCATGGTCTGAAAGGACCACCAACTTCCTCAAAAGTAGAAAGCCTCATCTTTTGAAAAACAGATAAACTAAGAGTATAAATTGCTAAATACCAGACAGTGTTTCCGTTATAACACTTATGGCATCCCAAATATTCAATTTGACATTTTGACTCAATAAGAAATAACAACATATTTGTGACTTTGCACAGTCTCTGCTAACCCAATTTAAGAAAATGACACATCTATGCTGGTATACAAACAATTTGTATGCTATAACTTTTCCTATTAGCTCAGCAGGACAAACATCACACTTTAGAGTCGTTTGAAAGCCTTCTTGAGAATCTGGTGAATTGTCCAAACAAAGACTACATCACCCAATTCTTAGAATGATGCTCCTTCATACACTGTTCATCCTTGAAAAAAAGACAATGGTTTGTTACAAACAAAAATACACCATTTACGAATATTAGTTAAAAGTCTTACTTTTAAAAATGGACCCAATAATTAACACTTACACCTGCACATTTCGTTATTATGTTAAACAAACTTAATTTTCTTAAATAACCCCTGACTAAATAGAAAACATACATTTTCTGTTTCTTGACTGTTTTTTAAAGAAATTTTCCTTCTCAAATGAGAAATTACAATCTAACATCAGGTCAGCCTTCGAGTTTAAAAACCCACCTCAGTCTTACTTTTCTTTTAAAGGGTAACCTTGAGATCATCAGGCATAGTAGACAGAATGAGTAGTTAATAATTAAAAGCAGTACTGGAAACAGCATATGAGACACACACAGACTGTCACAGTCAGGATTAAAATTATAGAATGACAGAGGTCATGTATATACCCTATTGTCAAGCCAAAGCACAACTCTTTTCGGAAGAGGACAGAAAGCTGTTTGTAAGACCCGCCACCCAAATATTGCAGCACAGCAGTCTTTCAATAGGTCCGAGGAGCTTCCTTGGGCACAGCTGACACTGATTTTTAGAGCCTAGCCTCACAATTTCTTTCATTAAAAATTCACTAGAGATTCTCTGTTAAACTATGTTAATATGGAGAAGACTTAAAATCAGGATCTTTCTACAGCATCGTATCATTTCGTAAACAAGTATGTTGCCTTGCCTGCTGAACACTGGAAGGCTTTCTTGGTGGTGGTGTCACTCAAGTGCAAAGGCCAGCAGCGCACTAGAACTGTTTTTTAGTGAATGAGTGACAGTATAAATATTTTTGGAGGTGAGGACACCATTCATTCAAAATCATTATTATATGACTCAAGGGATTGGTTTACTAACCTTTTTACTAAGAATTTAATATTAACTAAAATAAGCTTTATACTTGTATTTACTTTGACTTAGTTTAAAATTCAAATACCATGCTTTTTCATTCAGTTGGTTACTTCTTTTAATGTATTCAAGAATGTTGAACACATACAGAACTGAATTAAGAAGCAACGACTGCCCTGTGGAAGAGCTCAGTTAACACAGAACGTCTTGAGAACCAGGGACACATCTTCAGTACTGAAGAGCAGAGTGTACGTGGAAAGCACTCCAAATTCATTCCTAATTTCCCCAATACCACACTAAAATGCTGTGTAGAGGGATGTCTCTTAGCAGTTTTACATAATTCACAATGGAAATGCGAAAGGCTTCACCACGGCCATCGACACTCCCCCTGCGCCTGGCCACCAGGGAGTGCAGCACGAACCTTTAACTCATCTTAGAAACACTTTCTTTCCTTATTTTCCCCCATCAATTCACAAGTAAACAAAGTATTACTTCTCGAGGAGAGCAGGGGTGGAAAAGCGAAGTGTCTTCATGATTCCTGGCGCTGGACCTTTCTTGAGGGGAGAAGTGGAGGCAGGTGTTGGAACATTCACAGTTTAATGCAAAAGCACAAACGAATGAAATTCTGTAGTTGCTTTCAGGCAGTTTTGCGCATAGAAAAAAGAAATGTTTAGAAAATAAAATGTTTTTTGTCTTTCTGGTTGTGGCCAAGCCAGTCCGTTTCCACCTTAACTGGTGAAAATTTAAATCCCAAATTAATCTGACTTATGGCAGTAAAGGTCCTTAAGTGCTTTTAGCTCCTCAATCAATGTCTTGTTTTGGTTTTCAAGCACTGCCACTCTGTTTTCTAAACATTTCACATACTCTTTCTTCTTCCTCCGGCACTCGCGGGCTGCTTCCCTACAAGCAAAAAATGACAGTAAAGATAATGCAAACAAGGCATATAAAATTTATTTTTAAAAGGAGAAATAGCTCAAAGCAACAAATATTTTAGCATATATTAGGCATCTGAAAGGATATACTGGATGACTTGGAAATAACCTTATATTGAATTTTAATCTTGTATCATTGAAGGCTAAATTCAAAAAAGGGGGAAAACTCCATAAACAAAAGTTAAATAGTCACTTAAAAATTATATCTCTCGGCTGGGCTTGGTGGCTCAGCCTGTAATCCCGTGCTTTGGGAGGCCGAGGTGAGTGAATTTTCTGAGGCCGTGGGTTCAAGACCCGCCTGGGCAACTTGGTGAGCCCTCATCTCTACAATAAATCAAAAAAATTAGCTGGGCGTGGTAGTGCACGCCTGTAGTTCCAGCTACTTGGAAGGCTGAAGTGGAAGGACCGCCAGAGCCCAGCAGGTCAAGGCTGCGGTGGCCAGGAGCGTGCCACTGCACTCCAGTCTAGGTGACATAGTGAGACTCCAACTCAAAAAACAAAACAAAACAAAAACAAAAAATGACATCTCTTGGCTGGGTTCGGTGGCTCAGCCTGTAATCCCGCACTTTGGGAGGCTGAGGTGAGTGAATTGCCTGAGCCCGCAGGTTCGAGACCCGCCTGGGCAACTTGGCGAGACCTCATCTCTACAATAAATCAATAAAATTAGCCAGGCGTGGTGGCATGCGCCAGTACTTCCAGCTACTTGGAAGGCTGAGGCGGAAGGATCACCAGAGCCCAGAAGTTCGAGGCTGCCGTGGCTGGGAGCGTGTCACTGCACTCCAGCCTGGGCGACAGAGTGAGACTCCAACTCAAAAAAAAAAAAAAAAAAAAAAAAAATTACATCTCTCACAATCACAATGTTCTGCTTCATACCTGCCAAACTTAAAATTCTATCCATAACAAGAACTAAGAAAATATTAAAGCTACATTTCAGTGTGAAAAACATCATTTAAATAGAAAACCTTCATTTCAAGGCATTTAAAAAAATCAATTACAGCAGTCCCTTCAACAAATGGTGCTGGGAACACTGGACATCCATATGCACATGAATAAAGTAGGACCCTTACCCTTATACCACATATAGATACTAACACAAAATGGAATGGAGGCCTAAAAGTATAAGATTTCTAAAAGTATAAGATTTCTAGAAGAAAACATAAAGAAAAAGCTTTCTGACACTGGATTTGGCAGTGATTTTGCATACACAACACCAAAACACAGGCAACAAAAGCAGCATAGACAAATAGGACTGTATCAAACTATAAAACATCTGCACATCAAGAGACACAATAAACAGTGAAAAGCAGCCTAAAGAATGAGAGGAAATATTTGCAAATCATGTTCCTACTAAGGGGCTAAGATCCACAGTCTACGAAAAGCTCCTGCAACTCAACAGCAACATAGGAATCCAGTGGAAAAAATGGACACAGAACTTGAATAGGCATTTTTCCAAAGATACACAAAGTCCAATAAGCGTATTAACAGATGCTCAACATCACTGGTCACTAGGGAAATGCAAGTCTAAACCACTAGAGAGCACCTCACAACCATCAGGAGGGCTACTATCAAAAGCTACCACCACCAGCAGAAAATACCAACTGCTGGTGAGGACATGAAGAAATCAGAACCACCGTGTCCCGCTGAGGGGAATGTCGAGTTGTACAGCTGCTGTGGAAAACAGAATGGGGGCTGGGGTCCTAAAAAACTAAAAATGAAATTTACTGCATGATCCAGCTCTCCTCCTCCTTGCCACGTATCCCACGCAGATGGAAGCAAGGCCTCAGAGAGACATACGCACACCCACATTCCCTGCAGCATGATTCACAACTGCCAAGAGGTGGAAGCCACCCCAATGCCCATCAACCGGTTAATGATAAACAAACATGGCATGCACATACATCAGAATGTTACCAAGTTGTGGGAAGGCCTGCAGCAGGCTACAACATGGGGGAAACTGGAGGGCGCTAAGCTAAGTGAAATAAGCTAGTCTCAAAAAGACAGATACTATATAACTTTACTTATAGGAGGCATCTGATCAATTCACAGAAATAGGACTTAGAATGATGGGGAAGAGGGTAATAGTAAGTTCTTGTTTAATGGGTAAGAGTTTCAGTTTTGCAAGATGAACAAGCTCGGAAAACCCATTGCACCACAATGTGAATGTAAATACTGCTGAACTGTATACTTACAATTAACCACTTTAAATTTATGCTGTATTTGTAAAACCACAATTAAAAGTAAGTAATTTTTTTAAAACTCTAACAAATTAAAAATAACAAATTATTCTTCAGCAAGCTGCTAAATGTAAACCAGTAAACTCTTTTTTAGCTCTCTGTGGTCAAGAGACACACCTTAACCTTAGGTTCCTGACTGTAAAAAAGGCATATTACCTGCCTCAAAAGGTCTGTGAGGATTACATAAGTTAATATATGCAAAGCACACAAAATGGTAATATACTGCTACTCCACTAATGTTTTCATCCTCACATCAATTCAGAAAAAAGCAGCATTTGCTTTTAATACAAGCTGAGTTTTGGGATCAGAAAATCCTGTATCTAATGTTTTATCACCCGTCATAGACAGACATGGATAACCCATGGCATCATTTTACCACTGGAAGCAATTTCTTTAACAATGGCGCAACAGGCTGGACGTGGGGGCACTTTGGGAGACAGAGGTGAGAGGACTGGCTGAGCCCAGGGGTTTGAGACCAGCTTGGGCTCGCCTCTACAGTTAAAAAAAAAAAACCCAAGACCTCGCCTCTACAGTTAAAAAAAAAAAAAAAAATTAGCCAGTCGTGGTGGTGCATGCCTGCAGTTCCAGCTACTTGGAAGGCTGAGATGGGAAGATCACCTGAGCCCAGCAAGCTGAGGTTGTGGTGGCCATGAATGTGCCCCTGCACTCCAGTCTGGGTGACAGAGTGAGACTCTGACTCAAAAAATAAAATAAGATAAAACAAAACGGTACAACATTTACTTAACAGTGAAAAAGACAAGCCAGGAGGTGCTTTGGGGCCAAGATGAAAATCATGTCCTGGAAAGAATGGCAGTGGGAATGATTCACAGCTCGATGCGGATACTGTGTTTGAATTCTGATACCGAGAACATGCGGGATGTGTGTACATTTACACACCTAACTTCAGCCTGGGTTTACTGAACTTATTTTCCTTGCTTTCTCCTCTCCATTACCTGAAAGTCCATGGTCTCCAAGCTGACTGTCCACATGAAGGCTGTGTCGACGTGCTAGCTCCCAAAGTTAAACTGACATGACCCTATAGGTTAGCACATCCCAAATTGTTCCACCATCATCAGCATAGTGTTCTAAAAGGTTAAAAGATATGTTCCTCGAAAGAAAATAAACTGAAACTAGGCTAAGAAAATTAACATTTCTTTAACACAAGAGCTCTTGGATTGTTTCGATATACAAGGTGAACTGAGACTCTCCACAAAGGAATTCCATGTAACATGACCCAACTTCATCTGACTATACAATACTTTGGGGAGGGGGTAGGAGAGGAGGACACTGAACAAATTTCAAATAACACTGTCTTGAAGACGGATGCTCAAGTTAGTCACAGTTTCAAATAGGCAGATTTGGATACAAACAGTGCCATGTGATGTACTGTGACAGGTTCTAACCTGAGGAAGGAAATTTAGGTTCCAATCCTGGCTTTTCAATTTTTTTTTTTTTTTGAGTCAGGGTCTCACTTTATTGCCAAGACTGGAGTGCAGTAGCATAATGATGACTCATCATAGTCTTGACCTCCTGGGCTCAAGGGATCCTTCCACCTCAGCCTCCCAAGTAGCCAGGACTACAGGCATGCACCACCATGCCTGGCTAATTTTTCTTATTTTTGTAGACATGAAGTCTCACAATGTTGCCCAGGTTACAGGCTGGCCTGGAACTCCTGGGCTCAAGCAATCCTCCTGCCTTGGCCTCCCAAAGTGCTGGGATTACAGGTGCAAGACACCAAGCCCCACCAGATCCTGGTCTTGATGCTCACTAGTTGTACAGCTTCCTGCAAGTCCCCTCCCATTCAGGGACCGCTACCTCATCTTTCTTCTTTTTTTTAAAGGAGTCATCAACATGTCTCAAACCAAGACACAGATTAGTTTTGTATTAAAGAACATGCAAAACCAGGGAATAAACATGGTATGTCATTCTACAGCACCAATTTTAGTGGATAGGGTAGCAGGCATTTTTGTACTAAGATAAACAGTTTTATATTTTAGAGTAGAATATAAAACTCAAATTAACTTTAAGCAATTTTAAAAATCTCTAGTTTGGAGTGCCTCGTAAAACCTTTTTTTTTAAGAACAGAAGAATGAGAGGACCTTCCCAGTGGATTAGTCTTGGGACTTAGTCTGAAGATAAAATTGACCTCTGATATCTCTTTCAATACAAAAACAGGATTTTATAAAGATTTCAAGAACCCATGTAGGCAAATGGCCTATAAATTCTGAAATTAATTTGACATATTTTTAGAGAAAAAGTTATTTCAACATCTGCCTCCTACATTTACTGAACTTGCCCTGTCAGTCTGTTTGGTGTTGCTGGCAACAGAATACAGGTTGAACATTCTAAATCCCAAATCAAAGTGTACCAGTTCTGAACCTTTCTGAGCACTGCAATGACACTCAAAGAAATTACACTGGAGCATTTTGCAAATATTTGGGGTGCTCAACTGGTAAGTAAAATGCAAATATTAAAAAAACTGGAAACCAAAGCATTTTGGTCTCAGGCCATCTCGTAGAAGGAATATGCAATCTGTACCATAAGACCAGGTAACTTGTAAAGAGTTACTCTTACAAAGAGATTCACCTTTCACAATTCTGAAGACTGAGAAGTCCAAGGCTGAGGGGCTGCACCTGGCAAAAGCCCTTCTGCTGTGCCACTCCACAACACCACCAGAGAACAATGTTACCCTTACCCTTATCATGAACAAAAAGGGACTAACTTCAAATTTGCA